AAAAAAAATCATTCGAAAAAATTTGAACCTAAAAATGCTAGATTAGAATTTTACAACAGCAACATTATTCTGTAGAATTCATAAATACGAAACCTAGGATATCTCAAAGCTTTAGAAGGATATAACCACTTTCTTTTTATCATTCTGGGTTCGTACATCCAGTAAAAATTGTAAACTAATGACTGAGGCTCGTCCATAATCCCTGCCAAATATTTTAGAATTGTTGTTTGCTTGGGAACTGGCGGAGGGAGGAGGAAGGAAAAGGAAAGTTTGAATGGAGGAAAAAATGTGGAGGGCATTCACATGATGGCTACGAAAAGCAAAACCGTTGGCTAGAGTGAAGCTTAGCATGATTTCGGTAGATGGGCGATGGGTGATGGGAATATTTGTCAAGTTAATTTCCTAAAAAGCAACCTGGTGGAATACATTTTACAATAAATTTTACAGAGTACCAGTGATAACTGCGACAGCTAAAGTGAGAAGAAGACAAGATACATAGCTGAATTCCACAAAGGAACCATTCAGAATGTTTTTAATAGAGCGACTTTCCACAATGTTCAGCGTTGTTACCATTCCCTTTAGCAGACAATTTGCAAAAATTATGAGTATTATGAAATTGTAACCAGCATACCTTCGCCCTCCACTGGACCACTCTGATCCTGTTGCGCATGAGAACTGGGGCCTTCCTCTCCATCTCCTCGCAAAGCTCTATGTCTGCGCTCTAATTCGTTTGCAGGATCATGTTTTACTTCAATCTCCGCTCGTTCTTTAGCCATTTTCATAAGACCTTGGACAGAATCCCCAGTAGGAATTCGATTTCCGGAGCTTTCAAACAACTGAGCAAAAAAATCGAACATGGCTCATTAACTAAGGCGAAACAAGGGTAAACTTACACAACGCGGCCGACGAATCAGTTCCACATCGCAGCCACGAAGAGCTGCTAGGCGCTCTTCAATCTCAGAGAGTGTTAACGGCTGACTGCTCGTACTTGGATCTCAAACTATTATGACTGACAATAACGTGATGGAAGTACCGCCGCTTAGTTATGAGGAAGGAATGAAAACTGCTTCATCCAGATTAAACACGTTATTTTGAGCTTAATATTTTTGATAGATTTTGAGGTTTGTTTCACAAAAGTCCACTATTGAAGCATGACCTTATCATTGTTTTATGTAAAATATGAGCTCAAAAGTAGTACAAAGGTAGCAACTTACCGTCTTGCCGTGACTTCTTGAATCGCTCTTCCAAGTCATTCACATTGTTTTCGAAAGGCTGCGAACCCTTCACCTGATCCCGAACTTTAGCATGTAGCAGTCGAGGAGGAGGCAATCTTTTATTTTTCGGAACACCTGAAATTTCTTTTGAATCATTCCCAAGGATCAATGAGGACATCTCAAAACAAAACTGTAGGCAAATTTGTAATATTGAACAAAAAAGAAGTTACTGTTCTTCTAAAACACCATCTCCGTATCTCCCCTCTTTTCAAGATACCATTTTTTGTAAAGTTTTGATCTATTATCAACTTCGATTAATATGTCAGAAATATAGAAAATTTCCAAGCACATCCATAAAATTTGTGCTCGTGAAAACAAAACCTTTGTTTATATTGAGAAGCTTAGTTGAGAACAAAACTACGTTCTTCGTTATCCTTTCAGAAGGTGCAATACAAAAATGTCTGAATGTTCTTTCCCTAATTTTGTGATTTTGTAAAACATTTTTCAATAGTGCACCCCTCGATCAATTGTGTAGCAACAACATTGCGATTTAGTTGCTACATAATCACTACAGACTTGCACAGTTGTCGCCTCGAATCTGTTTCAGTCGTAAAGTAAAGTATGGTTTGCTCAGCTGGAGCGGGATTCGTCAGCGGCAAATCGATGTCGCACTAGGAAAACGAATGGTCAATTTTAGATGAATTTCTTTTGAGTATTGAAATGTATATTGAAGCTCAATCACGTTCAAACTATAGTGTTATCGTTAGTTTCTTGTTATCGAAACCTTTGATTATACTCAAGACCGATAATCAAATTCGTTAATAAAACGCTAACGATAACATTATAGCTTGAACGTGAATGAGCTTCAATGGAGCGATCCTGTGACTCACTTACACATTAAAAGCTTCTAAAAAGGATAAGAACGGGACTCAAATTCTAAAGTTACGAACTGAGATAGCTAAGAAGTCAGTGATGCCTGTGCTAAACTGGGCATGGCGATTCTTAGTGAAAAAGCGCAAGGAAGAAAATCAAGAACATACCTACAGATTGTCTCATTGAAGGTGGAGGTAGTCCGTCTCCCCACCAGTTGCCACTTCGAGAACTAACTGCATTTGAAGAATGCACTTGAGGGACATCACCGATAGTTATTCGTGTAATCTAAACCAAACTCAAAACAGCATAGCAAAAGCAAGGAGAACTTTTGCAAGAGACAATATGAAGCTCAAGATTTGAAATTCTACCTGTACACCATTCTTGCTTTGATTTTTCAATGTCTCTGCATTCAATTTCTCGAAACATTGAGAACAGACGGTCACGGGTTTATTTGCAAATTGTGGAAGGAGTGCACGATGCGACAAGCACCTTCGACAGAATGAGAGAGCGCAATTTGAACACCCTTCCTAAAATTTTGAAAACATATTCATGATAAAATTAGGCCTTTATAACTTAGGTTTACCAATATCTCTTCCTTCTATAAACACTTACGATCTATTTTATACAAACTCAAACTCCGAGAGAAACTTGAACCAATAATTTCTCTCAGAGACAACTAGAAACTGCCCTCTTTGAGCAGATACAACCGGAGTGTGAACAGCATTCATAAGTAAAGGCAATAAATGTAGCTCAATAGAACTCTACGACTTCAAATAAGCTTTCTAAAACACCCGAAAAATACATGAAAACCGCGTTTTGTGTTATTAAATCAACTCCATAACTGTTATAACGAACAAATCAATAATAATAGCAAAAGTCAAGCTCACTTCAGGGTTGAGAATAGAATATTTCGTTCTGCAATTTGTACAACAGACTGGTGACATGTTCTGCTTGTAAGTACCTCGACGTGACGAGCAAAGAAAGTGAGTAACTACAACATTCCTTTCTACAATAAAGTGATACCTTATAGAGAATGCCATAAAACTAGAAGGTCTTCAAAAAAAAACCTCAAATAATAGTATATACTTACTACTTCTAATGGAAACAGTGTTCCACATGATTAAGATTCAAAAGTGGGCAAACGCGCGCAATTATGAATTCCACAATTTCGACTCCGAAAAAGCGAGTCACTAATATGTAAACAAGCAACCGGTATAGTTACACTGATGAGCAAGCGATTTGTACTCTAGGACAATCAAAATCGATGACAACTATAATAGAATAGCAAGAAGTTGTGCTTTGGATATGAAATTGTGATTGGGAATGGAGATCATCTACTTTCATGATTAGGTTCTTCTCTTTCATAATGCATCGTTTAAAGGTATAAAAATTCATGTTAAAAAAACGAGTGCACGCGAACATATCGTCTGTGTGTAAATCAACTATGATGAAATAAGAAGTTGACTTATACATTGATAGGAGTATCAAAAAGTTCATCAAGGTCAATTATAGACCAGACAGTTGCAAACGAATTCGCGCCTTGATAGAGCAGACTTTCTTATATCTCAAATGATCATTTAACATCTAAAAATTGCTTAGTTAGAAATAATTTGCCTTCGAATGCAAGTTGAGGAAAAGTTTAGCTCATGTTCAAAAGCAACAAGTATTTGGATAAAACCATCCAAAGACAGATTTGGCAAAGCAAAATCATTTTATCACATGTTGCTTAATACAAAACCAAACAATGTACAAACAAAGAAATCTCAGTGCAGAATTGAAGGAAAACAGAAAAACTTACAGAATCTGCAATTCTTCAAACTGCATATACTGCAAGAAGCTAATTGTAAGTAAATCTTATTCACCTGATTTCGAAACAACAAATAATCAAAGACTGCAATAAACTATGATCTAACTAACAATAAGTAAGCTGATATGTTGCTAAAATCCCTTTGTAAACAAAAACTTCTCAACAAGTGACCGATCAACGCCTTTTATCACTATTCTTCCTTTCAACTCGTCAACATGAGTTCCAATAGGCTTTCCTACCTCTTCTTCTACAAACTCGCGAAGATCCTTTTCACAAGCCTAAAAAGATGCCTCCTGTTGCATAAGTAGGAAGTAGGGGAAGAAAGAACTTACAAAAACATCGCCTTCTACGTTTTTCATTGTGACAAGTTCCACATAGTCAAAATCGAGCGTCTTCTCGTTAAGTAAATCCCTTCTTCGACTCAGATAGAGGGGAAGCATATGGTCCCGTTTCCTACGTACATAGTATGGTAAATCTGGAGGAGGATCTAAAACGAAAAAGAACTTTTTCTCAAATTTTGCTCTCCTTGTAATATGAGAAACTACAAAGTTTTTTCGAAAGTCTTCAACCTCCCTCTCCCAAGAGGTCGTGACTCACAACTAAGGCCGAACATTCAAAATAAAGTTTGTGAACAAATTGGCAGACTTGCTTTTTACTTTAAGAGAAGTTTTTTTTTGCATATGCTTGTTAACTTTCAACGTACGCAAAAAAACACTTTCGGTGGTGGATGAGTCTGCGTAGTAGAACACTCTGCACACGAGGATATGAACTTTAAAATTAAGTGCCAGAAATAGGCAGTTCCATGGGTGGACAGGTGAAGGAGATCACAGGCAAATTTGAAAACAACAACTACTGAGCCTATTGCGAGGTTTACTTTACCAATATAAGCATTGAGATATGCATCCATAAATCCACCTACTGCAACAAGTTTAGAAGTGTCAAGACGTGAGAATCTTAATGATGCTGCATTATACATTGATATGCAAAAATCTTGAATGAAGAGTACCAGCAAAATTGGTGAAAGAAGCTATAAAGGAAACACGTATATCTTCGATGTAAGGTCAGTAAATAAAATTCAACATCATAAGTGGTAAAAGCACATTTGACGCCCGTAGTGCTAGAAGTTAGTTAGTTTTGCTTTGGTTTTTCGCGATTTCCTTTCCTACTTTGGAGTTTCGTAACAATGTGAAAGATCTATGACCATATCATTCCCAAAGAGTGGAAGCAATATATAGGAATGCAAAAATTGATTCATACCTCGTGGTGGCTGCCACCCACTAGGTGTCGGATA